TTTGGGGTACATACGTTCAGTCTACACCTTAAACCCTAAATCCCTAAACCCTAAATCCCTAAACCCTAAATCCCTAAATCCCTAAATCCCTAAACCCTAAACCTGTCTATGATCCCGCTGGAATGATCCCTGGTCCCCCAAGCCAGACCCATAGTCCCCCTTAAGTAGATAGAATACAGGGTTTAGGTTTTAGGGCCTAGGGTTTCGGGTATAGTCCTCAATATTCTCTCTACTTAACGGGGACAGTAAACCTTAAACATGCTACCAACCCTACCACTCCTACAACGACCAGCCTGAAGATACCAAAGAACCAAATAAGGGAACCATGTAGAAAGGCGCCGTAAGAACTTTCCTAGTCAGTGCCAGTGCGAGGGGTTTACCTTTATCTCTTCAGTAGTTTAGGGCTTAGGCTTTAGGGTTTAGGGTTCAGGGTTTGTTTTCCATGATTGATTTCGGCAGCTAGTGGCCTCTCAACAGTTGACGTACAAGCCCCCCCAAACGTACCACCCAGGGTTTAAGGAGCTAATAAGGACTACATGGAGCGTAAGAAGGTCTAATAGGGCTCTAAACCCTAAACCATAAACCCTAAACCGTAAACCCTAAACCCTAAACCCTAAGGGCACATTTGAAACTCCTAACCATACAAGACCTTTCTTTGGAAGACCTGAAGCTAGGCAAAGCTTCAGAAGATGCGAGATGCGGCCGACGATGAGCTCCTTGAGAAATCCTGGTGGAGATTTCTTCAAATCCGTATGCTTTTTTTTGTTGGGGAGGATCATAGGAGCCCTAAACCCTAAACCCTACACCCTAAATCGTAGTGTGGAGGGTCTTCAGGCAAAGGATTGCCTTGGGATGTACAGGTGTGCCCTAATTCTGGGACCCTGAACCCGAAACTCCTAAATACTTATAATGATGGCCCTTAACCCCAAAGAATGGGTTAATAGGCTATTGTTATGGGAACTTGGGAGGTCCTTAATCCTAAGCCCTAAGCCCTAAACCCTAAACCCTAAACCCTAAACCCTAAACCCTAAAACCCTAAACCCTAAAACCCTAAACCCTAAACCCTAAACTCTGGTAAACTCCTGAGCTCCCTGATTTTTGGACCCTTTCAGGTGGGGTTCCTATGTCAAGCAATTCCCCAAGCGAGCTACGCAGCATGCCCGCAGATGGTGCTTTTGCAGGGACATGTGAGTTGTAGTCTGAAGCTCCTTAAAGGGGGTTATACAGGGGATTTAGGGTTTAGGGTTTAGAATTTAAACTCCTTAAAGGGGCTTTCTATAGGGGTTATATAGGGGAGCATTATACGGGTTATTAGCGGGGGATACTTGGAGTTTAGACAAAGGCTCATTTACGGGTTTCCGAGAATGAGAGGTTTTTGGTAGTAAGGTTTATGGTCTTTGGGAGTATGTTCTGAAGCCCCTGTTTCTGGAATTTTTGCATGACATTAGCAAAATGTTTTCTGTGGAGACGCAGTAAGGTCCCTTGATGAGTGCAAGATCTGGGTTATCCATTCTCAAGGTGGTTACCCAGGATTGTGCTATGCTGTGGGCGATCCACAGAATCCAAAGCACTTGTACGGCCGCCAGCAGTATCTGCTCAGGACAGTGGAAGTAAGTTGGTCAAGAACTGGGACAACTGGGTTTGTCATGTATCTTGTAGGGGTAACTCGTATACTTACCCCAGGTAGGAGTTGCGGGGGTTGAGGATCTCAGCCTCTGATGCTTCTGTTGGCTGCAGGAACCAGTGGGATGACAGAGGGATCGAGTATTGGTACGCTGACGCATGTGTAAATGGCGTGTTGGACGTCACGGATCCCGAGCAGGATGAAGCGGCCCGGCCAAAATCAGTAACAGGAGGTTGTCAAAACATCCACGGTACACTTGAAATAGGCTGCCCCCATTTCGAAAACCCCACGCATTGCAGGGGCAGGGGGGAAGTGCATCATGCCTTTCGAAAAGATCTGAGACCACAGCTGTGTTGCAAGTTGAAATACCACCCCTCTGTGTCTAGGTAGGATTGAAGACTGAAAGTTCAAATCACATGCAAGACAATGAATCCTGCTGTCTGCCAAAGATTCCATATTTTTTTTAGAACAGCGCTGTCATGCAAGTTGCAAAGTCTCTGCACGTAGAAGGCATGACAGCAGAGACCGCATAACCTTCGCCGAAACAGAGTATGGCGAATGATCATGAAAGCACCTCTGGTGCTAACAATATCATCGGACTTTCAATGTTTCTTTATGCTCATCCCTCTGGCTTGGTATTGTGAGTGTTCGCAGTTGGTGGAATATCGTGGAATCATCCTTGAAGAAAGTGTGCAGGTCGCATTGACGTTCTTTGCGAGTAAAGCCGGAGGTTTTTTGGAAAAAGTCCAGAAGCAACTGCCAGCATGTTCCAAAAACTGAAGTGAGAATTCTTGGTGTTTGAAAGCAGTTGGAGGTGAGTGTATAGCTTTTCAAGGCCTATTGTGCCACAGCAAAGAAGCAAGCGGACTGCCTCAATTGGCCGCCTATGCCAGTCTTCGCACATGAGATGCAGGCGCCAATTGGAAGAGTTTAACCGAAAGGAGTGCGCTAAGAAACTTGCAGGGGCAGTGCACTGTTACATGTCAAGATTTTGCTCGGTCGTTTTTTGAGGCTTCCTTCGAGAGTAGCCTGCATTCTCCCATCCCGCAAAGAGAAACCATCGCCCCCGCCCCAAATAATCAAGATTCCGCTTCATGTCGTAGTGCAAGTTGTGGGTGGAATGGAGGAATATTTTCATGCACGTTTGAGCAAGTTGCTGTATCCACAACTGTTTATGGCTGCACATGCAATTCGGTGCACTCCTCGAGTGACCCCAGACGAAGAATTTCACCTCAGACTGAAAGTCGATAATTTTGATGTCCGCTAGAATTGCCTGTTAAGCTGGAGGTTCTTCTTATTTTGTCGATCTGGGTTCTCCACCACTAGGGTAGACAAGAATTCATCACTCCAATTGCTGCAGTTGTTGAATTTGATGAGCTCCCGAGACGCATACTATCTGGTGCACAAAGGACACTGCCTTTTACGACGGGCCATGTACGCCACGGCTGCATAAAAGGTTGACAGTAACTCCTGTGAGCCCACAACAGATGCCCATGTCTCAATATGTTAGGAGGACCCCCCACCCTGTAATAGTGGTATAGTAGGAATATAAGAGGACCCTAATATAATTCCCATTATCCCCTACAGTCACTATTACTGGGTGGGGGGTCCACCTAATCAATATGTCTCAAGCTCATGTTTGTGGGCCTTCTGTTTGGATGTTCATGGGGAATTCCATCTTGCGTTGGGCAACGTGCAGGCAGCTGGCTTCTTCCAGGAAGCCCATATGAGCTACAGTCTAAA